ATACCCTTCATTCCTCATCATATCTCCTCTCCTCTTTGTAGATAACATCTTTCTCTTTAATTTGAGTTTCCTTGAGCTTAGTGTCTCTAGATGTCTCATCTATGTGGTTTACTATTAAAGCATCATTCCTTTCAACCTAGTAGACAACTAACTCTTGTCTTCTTGACTCTAAACCTCCAGTTTCTTATTGTATGCTAGTCTCTTCCTCTACATCCTTAAGGTAGTCAGCTTTCATGTCAATAAGAATGTCAAAATGAGAGGAAGAAGTAACTTTTGCCTCCTCTTTTCTAACAAATTTTTGGTATCTCTTGGTAACTTGTTGACTTTCTCTCTGAAAGTTTCTCCTTGGTCACTGTACTTTATTATCTCAAGAAAACATCTACACCTTAAACTTATTATGTATCATTGAAATTTTCTTTTTCAGTGAGTTTGTTGCCATACTAGTTCCCCTTCCCTTGAGTTTGGATGACTATGACAACTTTCATTGCTCTTTTAAGGGCAAGCCTCTTGGTGATGACCATAGCTATTATAATAAAAACATATCAAACCTAATCCTTTATATTCCATATTGAAGACCATGCCTGCTACAATCACCCTTGAAACCAACTACTTATAAAGATTAAGTTCAACATAAATGTGTGCATACCTACCTCTTTTGATCTTGGGCATTCTTATCCACAAAGTTGGATGGAGTATTCATGTCCACTTTCTAGGTTTTCTCAATTTACTCTCCTAGTCTTGAAATAAAATTCTTATTGTAAAATGCATTGGAATATTTAGAATTTGAATTCATGGAGCAATTCTCTTCAAAGGATTACCAAAAGGATCAAAATAAGGGGTACATCTCTGCACAAGAATATAATGTCCTTTAATAACTCAAGGATCCTCATAGAGTACTCTTTTATAGTGCAGTTGTCAAAGATTTTCATCCTTAAATCTTATCACATGATCATTAGGGAGATCAATAGTTTCAAATGAATGAATCCGCGAAGTTTACTTAAGTGTTCTTTAAGTTTGAATAGTTGAAATTTTGCTCCTAAGGCTGCTAGAACTAGAGCAAGGTTTTATGGTTGACACTACTTATTATACACCTTAGTTATGATTAGAACTACTGGATAAATCTCCATTAGCTTTTTCACCTCCTTGAAAAGTTTTGATATTTTTTAGAACATTTCATTTTTAATATCAAGGGGATCATCTTCTTCCATATGGTAAGACCTGTTAATGACACCATTAAAGCCTAACAGAGAGTTCTTATATGACACAAGTTGAGGATGTAACATATCAGGAAATGAGACCTTAGTGAAATATGAGAATCCGAGAGTTAGAGGGTTCATTAGGGGTCTTAGTATCCCTTAGGATAGGGTGTTAACTGTACGTAGGTTTAGGGCTAGATGAGAGCAGGAGGACTTGAATTAACTGAGGCTGAACTATGAAATTTGCTTAAGCGAGTAGGTGAGGTCTTTAGGGCGAGAAGCATAAGACTCACTAAAGTGAGTAGGACATCTCACTAAAGTGAGCAGTGCATTTTGAAAAAACTATAAATAGATGTCTTAACTAAAAAAATAAAAATAAAAAATCACTTTCAAACATTTCAAAGGTATAGTTTTTGAGTCCTCTCTGCTAAGGTTAGCTTCCAGTGACCTAAGGAGCCTCGATATTTCACCAAGGTAAGTTATCCAGGACTATTCTACACCTTCTAAATTTTTGTTCTATAGATTTAATGTTTGAGATCCTGTGCTAGGCTTGGATCTGATATTTGAAATCTTAGAGTTTATCCATCTGAGTCTCAAAAAGAGTTCTAACTAATTCAATTATTTATATAAAATCTATATGGAGTGTGAGTTCATCCTAAAAACTATTAGGATTCAAGTACAATAGAACTCAGGAGTGAGAGATTGAACCTTTAATCTCTCAAAAGTTTAAGGTAACTGAGGATTTTATGTCATATATATTGTAGTCTATAATATTGCCTAGGAGATTATTTATGCTATTCCACTTACTAAAATTTTGGGTTGCATATGAGTTATGAAATTTAATTCTAAATGTTACATGTTGATTTTGTGAGAAGTTATGAAAATGATTTGAGTATGTGTAGCATGTTTATGTGTTAGTTGGAGTATTAATTATTAATGATATACGTAATGAAATTTTGTACATTGTGAATTGGATTATGTATGTAAACCTTAAAATGATAAACTACTCTAAAATATTTGCATGTAAAAATTTAATGATATGGATGCATGCATAAAGGTGGGAGTTCACTTATAAGAGAAACATGAATATTATAAAAATCTATCGCCTGCTCTACTGAGGTTGCCCCTCGTAGTGATTTATATGAAAAAATATATATGCTTAGTTTCACTGCTCAAATTGGTAGTGTTGGTTGGGTATATCATGACACCTTCAAGTTTAAGTAAGGAGAACCATGGTCTATATTAAAGTGAGGAAGCCTTTGGTCAGGCAACCCCTAATTTGGAGAGCAAAACTGGCTTACTAATGTGAATTAGAGCTACAGTGAGTTGTCCATACGTTCAGTCATAGGCGATAAGGAAGTTATAAGGGGATTTAAGCATGCATCATCTGATATATACTTTTCTGTGAATCATCATGGAATTATTTGACTAATACAAACTCTAAAATACATCTTGTATGTGGTTTAAGTTGAATGTGTGGACTGTATAAGTTGTATTTTATCATTGTTTTATATATTGATCTAAATATCCTAGTTACTAAGATTTTGTATGAGATCTCACCCTATTACTTTCACTATTTTTAGGAGATGATAAGGATAAGGATAAAGGCAAAATCTCAAGAACAAAACACTACAGGTGCAAAGGCTTCTGGTGAACTCCTCTGTAATGCATTGTTATTTTATCTTGCCAACTACAGTGACATGTAAATTTAGGTCTATATTTTATGTGAATTTGATATATGGAAAATTTATGGTATTTTAGCCTAAATTGATTTTAAGGGCCTTAGCTTATCTTTGGATGTATGAGAGATTCAAACTAGGTTTTTGCTCTATTTCATCCTGTGAGACTTGAATTTATTTGAAGACATGCTTTAGAAATTCTGGTACGATTTATATGATTAAATATGATTGATTCTAATCCAAAAACCTTTGATATAAATTGTATTTAATTTGAAATTATTGTGATTAGACAAAATTAAATGCTGTGAGACAAGCTACCTCTTAGGCAAGTGAAGCACAAGCTTAGGTGAGTAAACATCTTCTCATTAGGGTGAGTAAGTATTTGCTAAGGCAAGTGAGGTAAGCCCTCACTAAGGCGAGCTGAGTTGTTGGCTATGGCGAGTAGCCAAAGGCTAAGGCAAGGAATTATTCTCTATGTGATAAATGTGTTCTCTTATTTTAAGTTGTGTATAACATGAAAGGAAAGTTAACTGCTGTAATTCATAAGTCTATTTGTCATGAAGGCTAGCCTAATCACGACATTGTATTATGTGTGTGGTATTGGGAGTAGTGACTAGGCTCATTACAGAGGGCTTGTGCTTTTTAGTCACCTTATTAGCATTTGTATTTTCCTGTTCCATTGGTTGTTGTTCTAAAGAACTAGTATCGGTATCTTCCTTTTCCACCTTATGCTCATTTAGTGTGAATCAAAAGACCTTCCCTTTAGATGAAGGAGATTCTCTTTGTTTTTACTTCTCATGATCATTATGGGATTTTTGATCTACTAGCTAATCAGGCAAAATTTTTGGTGACCATGCATTTTCATGGAAAGTTAGATGTTCAAATTACACGAACCTCAAGGGAGAGAAAAACTAAACCTTTAGAATTGTCAAATTTAAAAATTTTGAAGTAGATAAGCAAATTCTAACACTAATTAACTTACCTGACACTATTTATCACAAGAATGTAAACTTTATTATTGCTGATATTTCCTCTTTCTCATGCTTGAATATTTCTCTGGATGGACAAGGAACTTCACACACATGAGTGTATTCTCAAGAATATTCCCATACGAATATAATATATATATATATATATATTATAATAGGATTTGGTTTGAGTGATTCATTCAATTCTATGCTTTAAATTCTCCTTTATGCTTTGAAAGTCATGCGAACCTCCAACCTAGCTTAGGGACTAGTCATTAATCCTAGCCACTGTCAATATTTTTTAAGAAATCACTAAATGATTAAAATCTCAAGCAGATTTCAAACAAACATATTAAATTCAATTTAATTTGTTGGTTTTTGATATATCAACCCTTGGTTGATCCATGCACTAACCCAAATCCCTCAAGCCCATGGGAGGCTGAATTAGAAAGGAGAAAAACATTAGGGTCCTGGAATGCAATGTAACCATTATTTTTCCTTTCATGCTTGAAGGCTATTTGGTGGCTAGTGTGCACAACTATTTCTTCCTCTTCAAGACATTTAGTCCTTGTTTTTGGGTACGCTCTTCTCTCTTGTGTTTTGGTGCATTTGTTGTGTATCCGAGATTGATTCCAAGTAGTGATTCCATCCTTTCATGTGTGGTTAGTGTTTAAACTTTAAACAAGTAGAACAAGTATGCCTCCTTCTAAACTCACATAATCGGTAAAGAATTTATAACTCTCAAAATACATCAAAACCTATTTTAAAATCTAGCTAAGAATTGAGATTAAAGAGTTGGAGAAAGCTAGGAATGGTTACATCATACATTTGGAGTCTCAAAATGTCCCCAAAGTGATGGAAGATCAAAATTCAATCAAAATCCTAGCAGAGCCTTTGAATTTTTTCCCTGATCTCCTCACTTTTTTCCCTTCATGTTTTGTGTTGTTTACGTTTCTGCAATGTATTTGATCTTCACCGGAGAATAAAAATTTTTTAGGTCCGGCTTTGAAAAGTTGTAATTAATTTTTTCCTTTCATGGTCAACATAAGAACATTACTTGAGTTTGTCAGCGTAGCCCATTTATTGAGAGTGGAAGCCCAATAAAACCCAAAAGCCCGTGGCCCATCATGGGTGGGTCTGGATTGTTCTGAGACATTCGACCACGATTCCACCCTATTCTGTTTTTGCTTCTTCTCTGCGTGCCTCCGTTCTCCTCTTCTCTACTTTGCAATACGATCCACCGTCGTCTGTCGTTGGCCGAAGCATTCACGATATATCCACTGATCGGCACTGTTCTCCTTCTCCTTTGCAGTTCAGGTTAGCTTCCTTTACTTTGCAATCTTCTCTATTTTCTGTTCTCTCTTCTTTTTTTCAATTTTTGTTCTTTTGGCGTTGTTAGCTGTTCGATTACTGTATCATTCTTGCTCTGTGTTTACAGAGCGTTGCCAGCGATTGATTTCATGTGATTTCTTGTTGAGATTCTTTGGAACAGTTGGAAATATATTCCACCATGAACATGCAGTTCTCCCTCCATTTTTCTTTCTTTATTTGTTCCCCCCTCATGTTCTGTCTCTTTTTAAATTCGATGTTCAGTCTCTGTTTATTGATTTTCCTTTAAGTACAATAGAAGGGCCAAATGGTTTTGTTATTAATTGAGAGGAAACAAAGAGGGGTAAAAATTGAAGGACTAAAATATACATTTACGATACTATCACGAATTCGAACTTCCTATTTATTTTGAAACTGTCTTCACTCTTTTGTTTTGTTTTTTTTTGAGTGAATAGTACTTATGAAATTTAGACGAAGTGTTCACAAATTTAAGCGGTGTTCAGTTTCACTAGTGATGACTGCACTTATTGTCAGTCGGTCTTTTGAGTTTTGAAGAAATAGATGACTTGTTACTTTTGTCTGGGCATGAATACACATGCATTCTCTCTTATGTGCTTTCAGTATTTGGTTTGGCAATTGATTTATATAAAAGATTTAGCTAAGACTAAACATGTTAGAACATAAAGTTTCGTAGGAGGCATTAAGATATTACATTCATGCATAAACAATAGCAATTTTTTTTTCTTTTTGCCATTCCCTGACTCAGTTGAGGATATTAATAGGAGATATAACAAGATATTTCTTGAAGATGTTACAGCATGACAAATGCATGAACATGTTGGTGGGAATTACTTATGTAAGACTATTTCAACAGTGATGTAGGAGAGGGTACATGTGAAGCAATTAGACTGACGTTGGCACACCAATGCCAATATTAAGCTAACGATGGGCTTTTTTAAGAGTCTTGGGCTTATGTCAATTTGAACACTAGAAGCACCAGTGATGGTTATATTCGACATCGGATACATTCTGCCTGTCTACATTCTTCAATTGCTCAGCAAAGTCTGGCTAGAAAGTTTGTAAGCTTTGATATTTATGATATTTCAACTTGTTAGTGCAAGTTCAGTCCAAAAATTAGAGGAAACAAATCTTGCTAGTACGAGACACGAGGATTAGTCTAGAATGAGGCTGAATGTTAATGAAAAACGACTTAGGCCTCTCATACAGCTTTTTTATTTGCAATGACAATTTTTTTATAGAAAACTCACCATGTATATATAATTGGGTGAGTTTGAGGGTTTTTTAATTTTTATGTTTTGAACTTTGAAGGTGCTCAGCAGTCACCTGTCTGAACTGAGCGTTGTCTACAACAAATATCCCATTTACTAACTGTGCTGGCTACTTGATTGAAGCAAAAAGTGAGGGAATGGTGTTTAAATTACTTGTGCCTTAGAATCTGATATACTTTTTGCCTTTAACGTTTTGCTTTTCATAATCTTGGGGATTAGTAATTACTAACCTTACACTAATAGCCTGTTTGGTACGTGGAAAAGTATTTTCCTAAAAAAAAAGAATGGGAGATGTACTTAGAAGGAAAATGAGATGAGTGTATTTTTCATTTCCTTTTTGGAAAGTGCTTTTATATCCGCTAAACGTTGCATAAGGGTATTCCAATTTTTACTGTGACGAAGAATGGGATTTAAATCATTGATTCATTCAACATTTTGTTCGACTTTGAAATGTCCTTGCAGGCCTTATATACGCAGCATAGCGTTTAAGAGGTAGCTGAAAACATGGCCAAGCACCATCCTGATTTGATTATGTGCAGGAAGCAGCCAGGAATTGCGATCGGACGACTTTGTGAGAAATGTGATGGCAAGTGTGTGATCTGTGATTCTTATGTGCGTCCTTGCACGCTTGTCCGGGTCTGCGACGAGTGCAACTACGGGTCCTTTCAGGGTCGTTGTGTCATCTGTGGAGGAGTAGGGATCTCTGATGCTTACTACTGCAAGGAGTGTACTCAACAGGAGAAAGACAGGGATGGTTGCCCTAAGATTGTGAATCTAGGAAGTGCCAAAACTGATCTGTTTTATGAACGTAAAAAGTATGGTTTTAAGAAACGATGAGGGTGGTGGTGGTGGTGGTGCCGCATTCTTGTTCTTGATAGATTTGTATCTTACTATTAAGGCTGCTTTTGAGATAAATGTATTTTACTTGGATGTCAGGCAGGAAAAGGAATGTATGCATCCATTTATCTGATGCATGATATGAATTGTTAGTAATATGCTAAGCACGAGACTTTTTAGTATGCCTGCTTTCCTTGGGTGATGAAGAAATGGCTACTTTTTTATTTTGAAGAAATATAACTTTAAACTTTAAACTTTGTTTGTATTTTATTATTGGTTTTTGTATTTTTTTGTCTATGTTTTTGTTTTCTTTATTTTTATTTTTTATTGATTTAAGTCTCTTCATAAACAAAATATAAAGATCTTGGAGGGATTTGAAATAATGAAAAGCAAAGTTACAAGGATCAGGAATGCTAAAAATAAAATATAAAGAGTAATAGCAAAATGTGATTAAAATATAAGAATTTAAAGTCATATTTTTTTTTTTTTTTTTTAGTGAAACAAAGGCAAGTAAAACTTTGAAAGAAAGGCTAGAGGAGAAGCTCTTGGTCACAAAACTCAACTAAAAACTTGGTTTGAGATCTGTCACTAAGTACGCAGTAAAGTAAATGTACAAATTCAAACTCACTTGTCCAAATCATGTTACATCACATTCTGGGTCAATTTTCATTATTTATTTTTTACTTTTTTATCAACATAGATCAATATTAACAAGATAATGACCGTCACATACTCACATTAGCAATATTCAATTGAATAGTCAAATATAATAGTATGACTGATTGCCAAAACAAAAACAAAAAATCTCTTGAGACTCTCGCCAGTTTACGAATAATACAAACTAAACAGTTTTGTTCTTGGGCGGTGAATGGAAATTATCCTCATCTTGTGATGCATCTCTCACCAAGTCAAACTCATCAACACAAGACGCCCACACCTCCCGGACCTTCTCTCCTCATCCTTCCTTCCTTCCTCTCCTTAACCCATCTTCATTTGCCTGATGCATAGCTCTTGATCCATTACTATACACAACCCAAAATATCAAAACGTAATACAGCATGTCTTGGTTCAGAAATCTTTCCAGATTTTCCGCCATTAACGTCTCCCGGAGACAACCTGGTGTTAACGCCGACCCGTTTCTTCTATCGTCTTTCAATTTTTTCAGTTCCAACAGCAATCCCGCTGCAGTAAAACCGTCTCTTGAGCCGGTTCAGTATTCGGGCATGGGACCTACGAAGCCCCATGAGAAGCCGCGAGTGGTGGTGCTGGGTTCTGGGTGGGCTGGATGCAGGCTCATGAAGGGTTTGGACCCTGAAATCTATGACATTGTTTGCGTCTCGCCTCGCAACCATATGGTCTTCACGCCTTTGTTGGCTTCCACTTGTGTTGGAACTCTGGAATTTAGATCTGTTGCTGAACCTATTGCGAGGATCCAACCCGCTATTTCTAGGGAGCCCGGTTCATATTTCTTCCTTGCCAATTGTACTGGAATTAGTGCAGATAAGCATATGGTTCGTTCTCTTTCGCCTGAACTTTTTGTTTAGTTTCTATATTTGTACATTGAGGGAGTGGTCTAGAGGAGTATACTTTACATCCGTTGGAAATGCTAATTTGGTTACATTATGTTGAGAAGCCAGTCTTCAAAGAACTTATTGGATTGAAGTTGCTCAATGAATACGTTCGGCACTTGGCTTTCTCGTGGGGGAAGATCAGCGTATATGGGCATGGATATCTTTGGGCTGTTTCTGTTATATATGTTAACTTGAGGATGAGATCCTGAGATACGATTTATTGTAGAAAATTGTTTTCGAAGTGATGAATTGGTTAAGTATCATACAGAAGTTTATCATGATGTGGTGACTAGATTATAGGCTTGTGTGGTCTATTTGATAATCCTGTTCTTCTCGTACATTGCCTAGGATTAATGTGACGCTCTCCTTCAGCCAATTTTTCACCCAAGAATTTAGCAATGCCTCTGCTTGTTATTTGTGTGACAATCAATTTAAAAACTACACAATATATATTTCAAGATGGATATCATGGCATGTAGTATCTAGAAAGTAAAGTTTAGGATCATGAAATATGTTTTATGGAAATGAAAAACAAATTCCAATCTCTCTCCTTTTCTTTCACCTTCCTGCACCCCAAAGAAGAAAACAAAGGATGCTTGGAATATATCCTCCTGGTTTTCTGGTTACATTTTAAATTTAAAATCTTTGAAAAAGTTGAAAATATGTTTCTAGACTAGAGTTAGTTTAAATATCACTACATGCAGTATCTTACCAGTGTAGGTTTTTGTTCTTGGTTTTAAAGGTTCATTGTGAGACTGTTACTGATGGTGAACAAACACTAGATCCTTGGAGTTTTACGGTCTCATATGATAAGCTAGTAATTGCATTAGGAGCAGTACCCACCACTTTTGGAATTCATGGAGTCAAAGAACATGCAATTTTTCTTCGTGAAGTTCACCATGCTCAGGAAATTCGTAGGAAGTTGCTTCTTAACTTGATGTTGTCTGATGTTCCAGGTCAGTAGTGATAATGTCACTATACTAGCTAAATATAAAGTCATATCATGAAAGGTTCTATTGTACATTTCTCATGTATATGATTTGGGTGCAGGGATTTCAGAAGAGGAAAAACAAAGGCTTTTACACTGTGTGGTTGTGGGAGGTGGTCCCACTGGAGTTGAATTCAGTGGTGAGCTTAGTGATTTTATCATGAGGGATGTCCATCAAAGATATGCCCATGTGAAGGATTACATTCGTGTCACTCTAATTGAGGTATACTTGGTATCACTAGACCTATGCCTAACTAAATAGTAAATAGAACATATTTGCCATGGGGCATCCCCACAATACTTAATTGTCAGTTTATTGGTGTAAAAAAGTTGTCCTTTTGAAGTAATTGAATGTTAAACAATTCATTCATGTCTTAACAGGCAAACGAGATATTGTCTTCCTTTGATGTCCGTCTCAGGAATTATGCTGTCAATCAGTTGACAAAGGTGAGGTATTTGTTAAATTGCTTGTTTCTATTTGCTCATAAAATCCAGTCGATTTTGAATTGTTTATTCTCACATGGAAAAGAGAAACTGGAGTCTACTTGTTTTTCCATGTCAGATAATGAAGCATATGAGGTGGTGATAGACTGAACATAACCAGGATAGCCTGTTTCATCTTATGGAAAGGCATTTAGGGTCTTTCATATGACGTGCAATACTTTTCAAGTTTTCATCACAGCTTTAGGTCTTCAGTTTGGATGTTAGTGACTGATAGACAGAGCTAGTTGTAAACATGTTTCCATTTATCATTTATATTATATATGTTATTGATTTTTGTAGTTTCTCTCAGTCAGGAGTCCGTCTTGTTCGTGGTACCGTGAAAGATGTTCAAGATCAGAAGATTATCCTTAATGATGGCAGTGAGGTTCCATACGGTTTGCTTGTATGGTCTACTGGTGTTGGTCCATCACCTCTTGTTCACTCTTTAGATCTTCCCAAAGCTCCTGGTGGTGGAAGGTTAGTGTTGTTAACTTCTTTTTCAGCATATTTACATATCATTGTCAGTGACAATTGACAAGTTGACAACCATTGTATGTATTATGTATGTGAATAGTGGATACATTTTCTTTTTCCCGTCCATGATGCTTCTGATTGATTTCCCATATGGTTTTTCTTAAAGTGCTGTGGTGGATTTCCTTTCATTTCTTTTCCCTTTCTTGTTACTCAGTTGAAATGCCCTTTCCTTTGCGCCTGTGTTCTCTTTGTGAAGTAACTATAACTTTATATCAGAAAATTCTACTAAAGCTAAATTTAATATTTTTCTCTTCACAGGATTGGTGTTGACGAGTGGCTTTGTGTTCCTTCAGTACAAGACGTGTTCTCAATAGGCGACTGCAGTGGATTTGTTGAAAGTACAGGAAGACAAACACTTCCAGCTTTGGCCCAAGTAAGTGATCTTTGGTTCTATGGTTTCTCCTACACAAGTCTGCATTCCTTCAATTTCTATATTTATAGTAAGAGTTGATTTTGGATTTTAGGTGTGTGAGTGACATGTTCAATTGGGTTTAGCAGCAATATAATAAGTCATTGTTGGCAAACTATTGCTTGTTTTTGCTTCACGGCTAAGTTACCACATTTGGATCCTCTCCATTCGCAAAGTAAATGTAGAGAGTGGATTTGGGGAGAGAGTGATACAGGAGAATATGATCGTGTATAGGACTGGCATATTATAGCATAAGTATGGGGCCTAATACTTGATTTATCGCTATCTCTTTCCAAATGCATCATTTATATTCATTTTGTGAACACAGAGGATCCGCGAAAGTTATGTACTAGCCATCTAATGCATTATTATTGATTGAAAATGAAAGGTGGCAGAGAGGCAAGGGAAATACCTAGCAAACCAGCTAAACAGGATTGGGAAAGCAGGAGGAGGCCGAGCAAAGAGTGGAAAAGACATTGATTTTGGAGAACCATTTGTTTATAAGCACCTTGGAAGCATGGCATCTGTTGGCAGCTACAAGGCACTTGTGGACCTTAGACAAAGCAAGGTGATCTTTATTTATTTATTTAGTTTTATAACTAGCTTACTTTCAAATGGAAGGTAGCTCTCCCGACGTGTTCCCCTCCCCGCCCCCCCCAAAAAAAAAAAAAAAAAAACGCAAAGTTTGGATCTAAGACTGTGCTTTATAGTGGAGCTGGGAATATAGACTGAGCTTGTTGGGATACCCTATTTAAGCCTTTTTTTTTTGGGCTTGGGTTTTGAAAATTTAGGTATTTTAATTCAAATGGACTTCTGAGCCCAACCCATTTGAGCCATAAAAAAAAAAAAATGGATTCAGGATTGGGCTACTCATTTAAGCCTTTATTTATTTTAACCTCGTAAGATTAGGGTATTTTATATATTTGGATTAAATTTAGACTTCAAATATGTATTTGTGGTTTAAAAATAAGATTTATATTGCTTGTTTTAAATTTTAAAACATTTTAATTTGTACTTTAGAGCATGAATATGTAATATTATAAATATAAAATTAATTAAAAAAGTAAAAATAAAAAATAAAACAAGCTTTTCAAATTCAACCTTGAGCCTGATCAATATGAGTCAGGTTTGAAAAAATGATCCTTTTGGTTTAAAAGAGCTTATGGGCTTGTGCTCATGCGAGTCATGCCCGCCCATTTCCCAGTTTTACTTTAGAGTACTTAAGTTCTTTCAGCTCAACTCAACATTGGTTTATGTTTTTCATTTCTAGCTCTTTTTACCCCTGGTGATTTTAAAACTGAGTCTGAATCATTTAAAATTGTGTTGCAGGAGGCAAAAGGGTTATCTCTGGCAGGATTTATCAGTTGGTTCATTTGGCGATCGGCATATCTCACACGTGTTGTGAGCTGGAGAAACAGATTCTATGTGGCAATCAACTGGGCAACAACTTTGGTATTTGGTCGTGATATCAGCAGGATATGAACTTCTAATGGTAACTGCTAAACTGATTCAAAGGTGAGACCATGGCTTAACAATCCGGATTTTTTATATTGACATGAATAAATGTATATAGCACATACGAATGAATACATAAAAGAATGATGTAATACATGTGAAGATTTGATATGAGTCATAGAGATGATTGCATTCTTTTCTATCAGTCTTTATGAATATGAATATATACACGTGAATGTTAAGAAGTAAATTTGCATGAGGCATTGCACTGTCGATATTGTGTTAGTGTCTAATCCCTTTTATCAGCTGGTGATAGGAATAGAATTTTAGAGATGTAACCGTTGGTTAGCAATTCACTTCTTTTGTTTTTACTGGATGGAATGAAATGTTAGAAGAGATAGAATGAAAAATAAGTGTTTTTATAAATGTGAAATACTCTGTGTGTATATATATATTCGTTGATGACTAGGACAAAATAAGTTATTGAGCAATGGTTAAAGGATATGATGCATGTTTACGTCTCAATTTTTGTGCAATGAACAATGGATTTGGATTGTTTGCGGTTAACAAATAACTACAATCTACACTTGTGGTTAGTTAATGTATATTTACGTAAGATTTGACAGTTTTATGTTGGCTATCAAGGGTTTAACACAACTTTTTCGTTCATCTGGGTTTAGGGTTGATTATAAAACATAGGCGGAGTTATGTAGCCAATCCCAATTTGTTAATTTGATCTATTGTTTTATGACTTGCAACGTGTCAAATTGGTTTTTATTGATAGTATGAATTCAAACCATGTGAAAGTACTCTTTTGTGTGTGAAGCAACTTTATTCTGTTTTTTTAGAGGTTTTTAGTATCAATAAATCCATAACGTCTTCAAAAATTCTCCAACAAACTTGTTGTATATAGGTAAATCAAATTGAAAAGAGTGTTAAATTTGTTACTACAAGGACCAACTTAAAGAGTGGTAACGTAGTCCTCGTAAGTTGGCTATATATATATATATATATATGTTAAGTAATTTTTTGAATTTAAAATAATTTTCCATTTTTTCACCATATGCTCATGTTGACAACACTATAAATAATATTTCAAATATTTAAAAGAAACATACAGCAGCCAACCAACGAAACGAGTCTTTTTTTTTTTTTTGTCCTTTTTCTTTTTCTTTTTTTAATGAAAAACTGATATACATTACCAATCAAACTAAAAGAACAGAGTGTAAGCGGCAAGCATCAAAAGAAAAGGACAAATCTATCCTCTTTTATCATCTTCCATCCCTAAGTCTGGGCATGGACGATGATGAAAGAGGTAAAAGTTAACATTTAATGAATGGGATAGACTTGAAACTCTATTTGGTTCTCCATGAAGAAGGAGCTAGCTTGGTCAACAATATCCTTAAAGGGATAATCGGTATCACAACAATTGATAATAAGGTTGATTGCTTTGAGACAGTCTAAAAAAATTATCAACAACAACAACAACAAGCCTTTATCCCACTAGGTGGGGTCGGCTACATGGATTGCAAGACGCTATTGTGCTCTATTATTTATTAAGCTTTTAGGAATATTATTAATTAAGAGATCGCGTTCAACAATTTTCAAGAGTATTCTTTTAGGCCTTCATCTACCTCTCTTAATCGGACTCAAAGTTATATGTTTTACTCTTCTCACTGGTGCCTTCCTTGGTTTTCTTTATACATGCTCAAACCATCTCAACCGATTTTCTACCATTTTTTTCTCAATAGGTGCCACCTTCACTTTTTTGCGTACGTGCTCATTTTGAATTTTATCTTTACGTGTATGTCCGCACATCCATGTAAAGATAAAATTTTATCTTTGAGACAGTCTAAAAAAATTATCACTCTGAGTAAATTACTTTCCCTGCAAAGTTAAATCCTTGTATAATACCAATCATTTCGGCCACTATTGGGGGGATGGAAATCAATCTGGAGATGAAACCACAAATCCAACTATTTTGGCCATCTCATAGGTACCCTCCACAATCACTGCTTCCATCACTTAGGAAGAAGCCATCAACATGTAGCTTAACCACAAATCCAGGTATTTTGATCTATTTGCGCATGTGACTTACTAGAAAGATTAAATAATAAGCATTTGCTCATTAGTTCCCTTGTCTATTACAAGTCCTGAAACTAGTCTTAGAAGAAGCAATTGAGACAAATCTCTCTTAGAATACGAAGAATATATAAAAAACCATCAAACTGATCAAAACAAAGGTGCTAAATTAATTGATTAAATTACTCTATTCTACCCTTTTTATAAAACTTTATTAACTTCCATTAGATTAGAAAAATTAGTTAAAAGTAGTTAAATATAAAAAAATTTAACAATTTTCTAACAGATCCCATTTGATTGCTGTAAAAGATTATAATGAAATAAATTGAAAAAATGAAGGGAAAAAAATAAAGTGATCAAAATATGAAGGAGAATAGATTAAATATATCCATAAGAGAAAAGATTAATTTTAGTTTATAAGGTTGGGAATAATAATTCATAAAAATTTTCTAGAGTTTGATGATTTTTACATTTATGATATATAATATTGAGTTTTATAATATTTATTATGAAGGAGAATTGTAATTTAATTCATTTTGATTTTGATTTTTTTTAATCCATTTCATTTTTATCTTTTATAGAAATCAAATGGGAGTATAATCAATTCCGGGAGAAATGAGGACCATGGAAAAGTCAAGAGTAAAAGATACGAGAGTTTTTTAAAAATATGTCATGCATGTTTCTTGAAATCTTATGAAGAGTCTAGTATCAAACACTAATGAGTAGGGTCTTATAAATAAGATCCAAGTGAGTAATTTTAAACCGAATATAACATGATGGTCCACATTCAAGATTAGCCAATCAAAGGACAAGAAAAGGGAGAAATCACATACAAATTTGTGGTCTGAAATTATAATTGGATTGAAGTCTATGAGGGAGAGGGGCGGTGAGTGAAATTATAATTTTGTTATTTTTATTTGAATTTAAATAATGTGTATTCTTTCATTCTTCTCATTTTATCTATTTTTTTTTTTAGCCTGCACATAAAATATTTAGGTTCCAATATGTTTTGGACCAAAACTTAGGTTCCAGTTTTGTTAACTAGAAAGATGAAAACCTTACAGCATGACATTACTCGGCTATTGAGAAATCCAGCAGCATCTTAATACAAATACAAATGCAAGTAATGAACGAAATATGAAAAACAAATATTAAGCAAAAAGAAAATCAATTTTCTTGAACAAACTCTCTAGACGACCACTAATCTATGATGCTGGATACGCCATTACTTGAGCAACAACATATTTTTCTCAAAAAATGACAAAAGATTGAAAAAAAAGAAAAGAAAAGAAAAGAAAAGATATTTTAATATTTTCACAAAAAAAAAAAAACCATATCTCTTAAGGTCTGTGGTCTCTTGCAGGTTTTATTTCTACATTTGTGACTTGTGCTTAAATATTTAAGCCTTTTGGTCCTTATTGCCAACTATCCCCATCAGTATCGGTCGCTCTGCTTGTCCAAAGCAGATGATACCAAGTTACCAACCACTGGGACGGATCCACCTTCAAGCGAGTGGGGGCCATTGCCCTCATAAATCAAGAAAATATTACACAAGACTCAAAAAAATTATATATGGCCCCTTAAAAAATTTCATTTGCCCCATCATTTCTTTTAAAAAAATTCACTTATCCTTTACAAAAATTCACTTATCACATATAAAATTTGATGAATCCCATTGAAAGATACTTTTTTTAAAAAAAAATTATTATAATGTTATATTTTATGATTTAATTTTTTACGTCATATTCTTACTATAATTTTATAAATATTTTTATAAAAACATGCATATTTATTTTAAATATAATTTATGTCCCCACTAACTCATTTTATTGATTCTGTAAGCAACCGCACTAGACGTTGCATTCTTTACGCACAATTTTGTGCAGCCAATGTGAGTAATGAACCAATGGGAGAAACATCAAATAACATTTATAAAATAATAACTTATATCTTGAACATTAAATTTAAATAGTAAATCCAAAGAATAGAAAATCGCAAGACCCTGTAGGAGCAAGAAGCACAAAAGCACAATGCTAGTTCCCAATGACAAAGTTCAATAATATTGGAGCAACTGATTCTCACATTCATTAACCCTACCAATAATCTTTACAAGAACAAAGTCCACCTTTGAAATGGTGGAAGCAACTTGAATCATTTGCATATATTTCACACCCATATGCCAGGGATATGTACTTGGCTGTTCTATGGCAATCTCTACACATTCTCAAATTTTTCACTATCCGGATTACTTTATTTGCATGATGATGAGAGTCTATCAAAGAAAATGCAAATGCTAGCTTTTCACTATGTACAACACCAATGCCCTCCTCTTCTTCCTCAATCCAAACCCCATTTTCAGAAATAGGTTTCTTGATCTTTAAAGCTACCCTTTCTACCCAAGAATGAAGCTTTTCTGATAGTGGTTCAGACCCATAACCAGTAACAAACGTATGGACTATATTTTTTGTTTCAATCCAGCACTGCCCAACAGGTTTCTCAAGCTTTGTCACTCTTGGAGCTTCCCAAATTTTCCCACAGAGAGAATATGACTGTGAAAGTAAATGGCGAATTACATTGTTTCCAGGTTCCAATGTAAGCAGATGTTCTCCCGCAAGGGTTGCCAATCCAAAATTCTTGTGAAATCTACAGGCAGTTAGCATAGCAGCCCATACTGAAGTGTTAGGCTCTATCGGCATATTTCTTATGAACTCCATAGCTTCTGCAAGCATACCTGAACGTCCAAGTAAATGGACTACGGCAGCATAATGTTCTAGACCTGGTCTGATCTGATACTCTTCAGTGATGCTGGAGAAAACACTCTTCCCCTCATTCACCATTCCCGCAAGGCTGTAAGCTAAGATGATACTTGCAAAAGTGCCTCTACTAGGTTGCAGTCCTTCCTTCTGCATCTGATAAACAAGTTGAAGTGCTGACTCGGATTGACCATGTAAAACATAGCCCGCGATCAGGGAGTTCCAGCTGATGATATCTTTTGATGTCATTCCATAAAAAATGGCTCTTGAATATGTTATATACCCTGATTTTGTGTAAGTGGCAATTAATGAATTTGATACAGAAGTCTCAGACGTTAAATTTCGACGCAGGGCACAACAATGGA